CAACTTTTCATCCCAACATTTTATTATAAAAACGTTAACTACATACCCTTTGAAGACTATCCTAATCTCTTCCTCTGCTACTTTCTAAAAGTAGCTACTGTGTATATTTTATTTTTTCATCCATCCACATCATATATGATTTATAACCCCTTCTCCCCCATCTGCAGTAAGGGTTTGAGGCCCCTGGGAATTTCCACCTGTCAAAGGCACTGTTGTCAGAACACCGAGCCTTTCTGTCCTCCGTGTAACAGGAGGACAGCCACTCTCCTCCTCCACCAGCACTGCTGAAGGCAATGGTGCCCACTCCAGTACTCTTGCCTGGAAACTCCCATGGACGGAGGAGCCTGGCGGGCTGCAGTCCATGGGGTTGCAAAGAGTCGGACACGACTGGGCGACTTCACTTTCATTTTTCACTTGCATGCATTGGAGAAGGAAATGGCAACCCACTCCAGTGTTCTTGCCTGGAGAACCCCAGGGATGGGGGAGCCTGGTGGGCTGCCATCTATGGGGTCGCACAGAGTCGGACACGACTGAAGTGATTTAGCAGTAGCAGCAGTAGTCAGCTTCAACAACAGAAGAACTTCAAACTGCTCTTCACCAATTTGTTGAACAAATGAACACTCTTTTCTTTTCATGATGACTGAACGGCATCGGTCCCCAGGTGGAGACCCAGCCAGCCCAAGTGCGCTCTCCCAGAGCTTCACAGAGTGGTTCATGTGCTCACAGCAGGCTGGCGTGGCTTCAACCCTGATACCCAGACGTGCAGATCGGGAATTGGGAGGCTTAAAGGATTCTGTTGTCTCACAGCACATTCAGGAAAGACAAGGTCCTGCTTTATGGACAACTTTGAAATAAGTACTTGGAGAAATTTGAGTTTTTGCAGTTGCATGAGATGTGATCAGGATACAGGAATGGAAATGAAAAAAAAAGAAAAGAGCATTTGAATACGTGAATGTTGAAGAATTGGTCTTTTTTTTTTTTTTTGGCTGCACGGGGTCTTCCTTGTGGAACACAGGCTTTCCATGCTGTGGAGAGCAGGCTCTAGAGCACGCAGGCTCAGTAGTTGCGGGCACAGGCTTAATTTGGACCGCAGCACAGTATTCTTGCCTGGAGAATCCCCATGGACAGAGGGGCCTGGCGGGCTACAGTCCATGGGGTTGCAAAGAGTCGGACACGACTAAGGACTTTCACTGTTTCTTTAACTTTTTCATGTGGGATCTTAGTCTCCAGACCAGGGATCAAACCTGTGTTCCCCTGCATTGGAAGGCGAATTCTTAACCACTGGACCACCAGGGAAGTCCTGAAGAATTGGTCTTTAGAGGCATGTCCACAAAAGGAGGGCAGTCTTTCTTTATTTTTTAATATTTTTTTTTTTGAGGGCAGTCTTTCTGATACTGCTCTGCACCCCCAGAGAAGATGGATAGGGAAGGTTCTGTGAAAGATGCCCCTCCAAGTTCTGGCATTTGGTGGTCTCACCGCACTGTATGGGAAACTGGTACCAAACCCTCTCCAGGCCTCAACAGCGTCTTCCCTGTGCAGCACAAAGGCTGTGATGGTTTCATGGTAGATCATGAGACCCCACTCCCCACCCCACCACATTGCAGACCCAGAGATGGTGAAGGCCCCTGTGGGTGCTCAGACATGGGGTAATCTGCTGGTGGCCCCTGCGGTCAGCACAGTTCTTTCCTGGCAGGTCTAAGGGTGACCCCTCTGTTCTGAAGAGGGATTTTATGGCCCAGGTAAATGGTGGTTTCTTAACGGCTCTGTAAAAAGAACAGGCTTTGGTTCTGTCCAGCTCTGCCACCTCCTAGCCGTGTGACTTTGACCAAGTCCATACAACACAAACATGAACCTTTAATTCTCACGTGTATATGTTTGGGAGGTCAGGTGGCAGGTCATGGGACCTGGTTCCCAGGACCAAACAGCCTCACAAAGTGCCAGACCCATAGTGATGCTCAGAGACCTAGGTCCTCCTTGCAGCAGGAGCCTCTGCTCCCAACAGCCTGACCTCTGTAAATCCCTCCATGTGTCTACCATCTGTCCTGGGCCCTGCAGGCAGCAGCCTGTTTATCAACAGGAAAGAAGGATGGTGAACAGGCCAGGGATTCTCAGGACCACAGGGGCCAAGGGCCTTCTGATGTTTACAGTCCCATGGAAACTGTCCAAAGAAGCAGCATCTGCCTCTGAAGGGCCAGCCAGCCAGGTCTGCTGGGGAACTGGGGATGGTTTCCACTGTCCCTTTCCTCCTCTACACTGTACCTGAAAGGGCCCTCAGGTCCATTTTCCTGAGTTCAGCCCTGACCTTATACCAAGACCCTGGCTTCAGAGCCAAGAGAGGGGCTGCAGCTGCCTCCAGGACCAAGACTCAATCCCACCCTGGCCTTTGGACCCCAGGCTTTATCCTCTGGGACCCCCGGCATCCAGGGTGATGCCTGAGGCCCTGATGAGTGCCCTGAAGGTTAGAACAGTCTTCCTCTGACCTCGCCGAATCCAACCCTTCCCCTTCTTATCAAAACAGGGCAGACCCCACAGCCCCGTCTCCCACCCTAGGCTGGAGTTCCACCCTCTCTGGGCCCCCACAGCACTTCCTGTGTGTGAAGGCAGGGAGGCACTTCTAACTGAATCAGGGGCCCACTCACATCTGACTTGGGTGATTTTCCCGAGGGTGGGACTTGGGTTTGACTCAAACTGTGGAATTACAACATCTGCTCAGCATCACAGTGCCATAAATATTTGTTCGAGGGCGGCAGCAACGCATCCAAAGCTCATTAGTTAGGTTAAATAAGGAATGTTTGAGATCATAAGCCACACGTACCAGCCAACCTTTTCTGGATGTGTAGTCATGAGGAATTAAAGTCGTGAGGCAGAGAGAAAGGCGGGACGGAGGGTCCCAGGGGGTGTGGTGTTGGGGGAGGGGGTATAGACAGAGCCCCATCCAACACCAGGCTCCTGTTGGGATTCAGCCACTCCATTAAGTTCTGTTCAGCTAAACATGAATTATTTTCATAAAGGTTAAGTTTTTAAAAAGCTGGAAGGGACATTCTTCTGGTGAGGGCTTATACGTGTGTATGTGTGAGCTCAGTCATATCTGACTCTTTGGCAACCCCATGGACTGTAGCCTGCCAGGCTCCTCTGTCCATGGAACTTTCCAGGCAAGAATACTGGAGTGGGCTGCCATTTCCTTCTCCAGGGGATGGACCTGGGGTTGAACTCACATCTCCAGGATTGAACCCGCAACTCTTGCATTGCAAGTGGATTCTTTACCTCTGAGCCACCTGAGAAGCCCAAGGGCCTGTATAAGGTTCTGTTATAATCTGTTCTGAAGTCCCATCAATGTTTAACTATGTTTAAAACATTCACAAATGAGTATTTACTAGTGCCTGACACTATTGTGACCACCCTGCAATAAAATTAACTAGCCTAGTCCGTAAAAACAACCAGAGGCCAGCCCTCTTACATTCCCAAGTCATAGAAGAGGCACCGGAGGCCGGGAAAGGGTGAAACTGTCCGAGGTCACACAGCTGGGACAAGGGGTTCGAACCAGCCGGGTGGCCTCCTTTCTTGTCTGCTATGTAGGTTACACCAAAACTTACAAATGTAACACTGTTTTCACTTGGAGTTCTGTACATCTAATTTTTAAAAAAGGGTTTCATTGCTAGATATTGGGTTGACCAAAAAGTCTGTCCAGGTTTTTCTGTACCCTCCTATGGAAAACCCCAAGTGAATATTTTGGCCAACCCAGTAATTTTACAAACCACTGACCTAACCCAGACACCATTTTATAGATCAGGACGCTAGAACCTGGGGACAGGGGCTGAACGGCCGATTCAGGGCAATCCCCACCATGAGACCACACCACCTTCTGCTCCTAGGGGGCAGCTCTGCTGGGGAGCAGAGTAACAGCGTGGCCCAGGGGACCACGGTCTAATTCTGACCCCGTTGTTCAGTGTGACCTCCTCTCCCGAACCTGTTTTCTGTGGATCAGTGTTGTCACAGGACTTCCCCAGCCCAGGGAGGATGAGATGAGGTCATCTGCATTCACTCAGAAAACCAGGCAGCTCCGCCTGCCCCGCTCTCCCCGACTGGACCATCCGTGAGGAGTCTGGGAGCCAAAGTTGAACTATGAACTCATTTCAGGGCCTCGCAAACCTCCAGATCAGAAGAGGGGTGGGGCTGACCTTTAACCTCATCTCACTGCCTGCAAAGAAACCTGGGAGCAAACACACAGCTCAGAGGGCCACTGCCCCCCCGAGCACCTCCCAACACGTGGGATCTCAGGCAGGCCTGACCACGCTGGAGGACAAAACAGGAAGGGTTGGCTGTACAAGGACACACCTGCCGATCACCATGCTGAGATGCGTCTTCAGAACGGAGGCAGCCGCTCCCTGAACCAACTCTTGACCACAGATGCATGTGTGAACAACTGCAGGTTTCCTGACCACACAACGAACTGGACCTGCTGCTCACTGGGTGGGGGCACGGCCCACTAGGGGGCAGGGGAGGTTGCCAGGGACTAGAGGGACCCAGGCGGACACGTCCTCCTGCCCAAGGGACCCGGACAGACAGGCACCCCCACCCAGGGCGCTAAGGTTTCTGAGGGACCCCAAGCTGCTCTAGCCGCTCCCCCCGCCCACATGGCTCAAGTTCCGATGATAATGCTATGGGATTATCATCATTCATCTCTGAACACAGGATATGGTTTCAAACAACACACTCCTGAACAAGGCGGCAGCTACTGAGTCATGAACAACCATGTATGAACCCTCTCGGCAGTGTTTTGAGTTTCTCAAATCATTGTAACCATGTGCACTTCACACCTAGTAAGGCCTGAGTGGACAGCTGGGTGGTGGGGTCCCTGGCCAAGTGGGGCAGGGGCTGCTTATTGAGACTTCTGCTCTTTGTAACTCAAACTGTACTTGTACGTAATTGAGTGCTGAGTAATGTAGACACCTGCTGACTCTCTAGCGTGTGCTTAAAAAAACGACTTAAAGGACAGCAAATTTCATCAAAGGCTTTTATTTCGGTTGCTTCAGGACCTTGACTGTCTGCTTTCTGGCTCTGAACACAGTCTAGCTTTTCTGAGCACTGGGAAGGGTTTGCAATCCAGATTCCATGATTTCCAACTCTCTGCGAACCCATGGACTGTAGCCCACCAGGGCCCTCTGTCCATGGGATACTCCAGGCAAGAATACTGGAGTACCAAGTCATTTCATTCTCCAGGGGGTCTTCCTAGTCCAGGGATCAAACCCGCATCTACCCAGGGATGGTCCCTGTGGATTCAGGCAAGACCCTGAAAAACTCACCCTCTACCCACCAGACAGGAGAGCCTCGCGGCACGCAGGCTGTGACATGCAGAGCTCGGGGCTTCTGCCCACGTGGCCTCCATCTCAGAATCAGGCAGGGCCCCGGCCACGTGACAGAGCAGCTCTGCAGGCCCCTGGGCTCGGAGAACAGCTGTCAAGGCTTAGCAACGATCAAATAAATAAGAAAGGCTATCAAGTTTACACAGCAGCACTACTGGTTCCTCAAATAACAAACTCAAACGGAAGTAAGTGAGGGGCTGGGGGCGTGCGTGGAGGCGGTGCAGGAGGGACAACAAGTGTCTGTAAAGTGCTTTCCGGGCGCCGGAATCCTAGTCTGGCTGACACACCAGCTGCACGCGGACAGGTTGGGGCTACGGGTGGAGGCTGTGCATGCAATTTCCAACCACGCCAGGTGCTCAGGGTGGACAGAGCTACAGCGGTCAGCCCGTTTGCGGAAGTGTGAGCTGACTGCGAGCGACTGAGGGTCTCCGAAGCCCTGTGTTTGCACACGCACACACACACACACACACACACAGATGAGTGTTGCGCCATCCAGCCTGGGGGGGGTGGGGTGTGCACACGGGAGAGGTCCTGGCAGCCACGCGCAACTGCTGCTCCTGCAGGGGACGCGTCCTCAGGCCGCCGACAGGAAGGGGAAGAAGAAGAAGTCGAAGGCGAACTTGACGGCCCCGTGCGCGGTGCTCCGCCAGTCCTGTTCGACCTTCACGTGCCGCCGGGCGGGCGCCAGCTGCGCCATGCAATTGAGGCAGCTGATGGCCTTGAGCTCGAAGACAGGCCACTTGCTGCCCAGGCGGCCCTCCAGGACGGTGCTGAACTCGATGACGCTGCCCTGGCGCAGGTGAAGGAGCACGTCCTTGAACTCGCTGCTGGCCCGCAGCACGATGTCCTTGGTGACGTCGTCCTCCTCGGGCCCGCGCGTGCCGTTGGCGCTGCTGTAGGGCATGCCCACCGTGATCTCGAACTTGTAGCGGTCGAACCTCTTCATGTGGCACGGGTGCTTGGCCAGGAGCTTGAGGCGGCAGAGCTCCTCCTCGGCCGTGGAGACGTTGCCGGGGCTACAGGACGGGTAGGCCTCGCCGTAGAGGCAGCGCAGCCAGTCGCCCAGGAAGAGCGGCAGCATGTGGACGGCCGACTCGGCACTGTTGTCGATCTCGGTCACGCGCACGTACTTGAAGCGGCCGGTCCACGTGACCCGGTGGCCCTCCAGGTGGCTGCAAAGGATCTGGGTGCGGGCCATGTTGGTCTCCTTCCAGGCCCGCGGCCCGCACAGGAAGCCGTACTGCGGCCAGGTCAGCGTGGAGTTGTAGACCTTCATGCCCTCCGAGCGGTACAGGTAGAACCAGCAGAACAGCACGATGGCCGTGAGCCACACCAGGATGAGCTTGACCACGGAGCTCCGCGTCAGGGACCTGACCATCCCCACCACCGAGAAGTTGGCCTTGGTCCACCAGCGGGCCAGCAGGGGGACACTGCAGAGCGCCAGGGTGACGGCGATCTTGGTGAGCTCCAGGGACACGAACCAGCGGGCCAGCTGCACCACGCCCATCAGCGCCAGGCCGAACACCAGGATGGGGAGAGCGAAGAGGAAGAGGAAGTAGCCCACGGAGGCCCGCACCAGCCCCAGGCCGGTGGACTCGAGCAGGAGGACCACCGACAGCTCGCACCACATGAAGCAGACCAGGTAAGGGACCAGGTAGCAGTAGGTGCCTTTGAAGTTCCTCAGCTGGGCCATGCGGAGGAACAGATAGAGCAGGTAGACGTACAACAGGCAGGGCACGCTCACGTTCAGCACGACCAAGTGGCCCACGGGCACCGTGAAGAAGGTCTGGCCCAGGAGCTTCAGGTAGCGCCAGTCGACGGGCACGGTGGGCAGCAGGGAGAGCAGGCCGGCTGCCACTTCGGTCAGCAGGGCTCTCCTGGTGTAGGGCTCGGCCGAGGTGCTCAGGCTCATGTAGCTGGTGACCGTGAAGAAGACCGACACGACGGCCAGCTCCGAGCAGGGCATGTAGTCCTTGCTGGCGATGGGGAAGGAGAAGATGACGAAGAAGACGGACAGCAGGAAGTGGACGTAGGGCTCCAGGTGGTTCCAGCCGAAGTTCCCCTCGGCCTGCTCCACGTCCAGGTTGGGCTCGAAGCGCAGGAGCAGGCTGGTGAGCGCGCGGAAGCTCTCCCAGGCCTTGCTGTCCTGGAAAACCTTGAGGGTGCAGATGACCATGGAGACGAAGGACAGGTAGAAGACGACCAGGGGCACAAAGAAGGCGAAGAAGTCGATGGTGAGGTTGCTGATGATGAAGAAGAAGACCAGGGCGTTGATGTGGTGGGTGGGCACGAGGGTGGACAGCCAGTGCACGCCCGCCCGGGACGCCAGGTCGATCAGGTACTCCTTGAGCTCCATGATGACGTGCAAGGGGTACTTGACCACCTGGGAGAGGGGTGGAGACGAAGGAGGGGCGTTAGAACCCGGACCACTCTGTGCCGCGTCACTGCTCCCTGTTAGCCCTTCCGTTCTCCCCGAAACCAAGGCCTGACCCTGGGCCAAGTGAACATACCCAATGTTTCAACCCATGGCTGGTCCCTCGGTCTGCAAAGTCCTTCCACCTGTAGCTCTCTCTTTAGGTGGTGATGCTCCACGTGGTCCCTACAAACCTGCCCTCGATTCTACCCAGTCCTGCAGGGTCTGCCCTCTACCTGCTGCCCATCCCTGACCCCTGACTGTCCACAAAGGTCTCCGGGCTCATGAGTGCTGGTCTTCCCTCCAAGATCTTGGGTGCCTCAAGGTGCCCTCCTGGCCCCCTCTTCTGTCCCCATGGGGCCTCACACTTGCAAAGACAAGAGAGGACCAGGCTACTTGCATCTCAGCCACCCCTGTGATGAGGACTTCACCTCCCGAGCCTCTGCCTCTGGTGGATCAGGGCAGGGGTGGGGGGTGATCCACCAAGGGGGGAAGTGCTGCTTTACCAGCCTACCCTGGGCCCTGCCCGTCCCAGGAGCGGGGACTCCAGAAAGGAGAGTTTGTACCACGTGAATGGAAATGATTCAGCTGTAACAGGGCTGATGCGACATTTTCACTGCAGCAGGAGCCCCGACACCTGCCGCCTGCACCACCCACCCCTGCATACCCGTGTGCTCAGAACACACACACAGCCCCCAGGGGAGCCCTGCTCCCTGCCTTGAGTCCCACCCACCGCCCCCCAACAGACTGTACACAGAGCAAAGGGCAGCAGAAACCCTCGTCCTTTCCCATAAGAGAAGAGGAATGAGGGGCTGGCAGGGAGGTGAGGGGAGGACCAGCTTCGGGCAGGAGGCAGGGACAATCCTGCCACCCAGGGTGGCCCCCACACCTGCCTGGTCCTCTATACAGAATCCCTGAGGCTCTCAGCTCCACCAGGGCCCTGGGGAGGAGATGGGAGAGAAGCTGAGGGAGCTGAGAAGAGAACGTGTCCCTGACTGTGCTAGGGCTCACGCAAGGTCAGGGGCATGGACCACACTGAAGAGGGGCGGTCCTTGTGAGGAACACCCACGTGGGGGCAGGAAAGCCCAGCTGAGCCCACAGCCCATTTGAGGGGCAATGTGACAGAAGCCCGGTCAGTAACCGGGTGAGGTGGGCGGCACCGCCTCCATCTATGTCCTGGGGACACGCTCCTTCTGCCCTGTGAACACAGGGCAGAGGAGGAGCTGGGATCCTGGGTGAGCACAACTGAGTGGCAACATGGGTGTGGCCGTCATCTGCCCAAGAGGCTGGGGTGTCAACTCTGGATGACCAGGACAGCCAGGAGGAGCTGGCAGAGTGAGTTTTCCAGATAAGAGGGACCTGGGCTTACAGGGGAAATAGGAGTGTTTAACAACATGTGTGTGTGCACTTCTGTAGACACCCACATGGGGGAGTGCATGCATGCTCAGCTGTGTCTGACTGTGCAAACCCATGGACTATAGCCCGCCAGGCTCCTTTGTCCATGGGATTCTCTAGGCAAGAACACTGGATGGGGTTGCTCCAGGGGATCTTCCTGACCCAGGGATCGAATCAGTATCTCTCGAGTCTCTTGCATTGGCAGACGGGTTCTTTTACAACTGAGCCACCTGGGAAACCCCACTTGTATATGTTCAAAGAGCTGCATTCCTCCTCATTTAACTGACAGTCCACTTACCCTCTGTTTCAGAACAAGCAAGAAAATGATGAAACCAACAAACCAGCTCAGGGCTCCCCCAGCTCACTGGGACCAGCTTCCTCAGGAGGAGACCCAGTGCTCACCCTGTCTGGAGGGGGTACTAAGGAACTTTGGATACCATAAAGTCAGCCTTGGTGGGGACTTCTGACACTTGTTGTTGGTCAGTTGCTAAGTCAGGTTCCCCCTGACTTTTAAGATGCCAGAGACCCCCTGGACTGCAGCACACCAGCAGCACACCAGGTTCCCCTGACCTCCACTATCTCCTGGAATTTGCTCAAATTCATGTCCATTGATTCAGTGATGCCATCCAACCGTCTTGTCCTCTGTCATCCCGTTCTCCTTTTGCCCTCAGTCTTTCCGAGCATCAAGGTCTTTTCCAATGAGTCAGCTCTTCCCATTAGGCAGTCAAAGTATTAGAGCTTCAGCAACAGTCCTTCCTATGAATATTCAGGGTTGATTTCCTATAGGATTGACTGGTTTGATCTCCTTGCAGTCCAAGGGGCTCTCAAGAGTCTTCTCCAACACCACAATTCGAAAGCATCAATTCTTCACCTCTCAGCCTTCTTTATGATCCAACTCTCACACTCACACATGTCTACTGGAAAAACCATAGATTTGACTATCCAGAGCTTTGTCAGCAAAGTGATGTCTCTGCTTTTTAATACGCTGTCAAGGATTGTCATAGCTTTCTTTCCAAGGAGCAAGTGTCTTTTAATTTCATGGCTGCAGTCACCATCCGCAGTGATTTTGGAGTCCAAGAAATAAAACCTGTCACTCCTTCCAATTTTTCCCCTTCTATTTGCCACGAAGTGATGGGACCGAGTGCCATGATCCTATGTTTTTTAAATGTTGAGTTTCAAGCCAGCTTTTTAATTCTCGTCTTCCACCTTCATCAAGAGGCTCTTTAGTTTATTTTCACTTTCTGCCATTAGAGTGGTATCACCCACACATCTGACACTTGCCAGACAGCAAGCCAAAAAGAACCTGCTCCAGCTCTCCAGGAGGAGCGCCTTCGGCCAAAAACCAGACACACCAGCTAAAACATTAGCAATGGAAAGAGCCTGTGCATGCGTCAGCCGCTGTCTGCTCGGCTAATCCCTGTGGACGGGGCCTCACTAACCAGACAGACGAGAGGCACCCAGAGCTCCTGTTCTCATCTCTGTTCTCTCTCTGTACAGTGCTGAGCAGCTTTGGGGGAGCTGGCCTGGAGGCACCCCAGTTAGCTGGCACCTAAAATTAACCTGAAACTCTTCCTAAAGCTCAAAACCATTCACATTATTGGTGGGTATTTTTTTTTTTTTTTTTTGCCATTGAGACCACACAATCACATGGTTGAGAGAACATCTGAAAGACAACAAAGCTTCTAGAACCTGAAGTCCAACAGTGCTGACCTCTGCCGACAGAGTGAGCCCCGTGGCCGCCGTGACCAGAGCTCTCCTTTTAAGGTCCCCATTCTGTCCCCTGTCGCTTCTACCCAAGCCTTACTACTTAGGGCCCCACCAATTTGTGAGACTAGAAACCTTTTCGGTAGAGGCAGTCCAAGCAAATTAAAGTGAACTCTACTTCGAGCAGGAAAGAAGTTTTTAAAAAGCGAGCAGGGAGTCGTTCATGACAGGACAGGAGAGGGCACCCTGACCAGGGGCTGCGGTTACCAGCAGGGGTCACCCCAGACACGCTTGGCTGACGTGAGAGACCGAAGAGAACTGCCTGGTACCGACCTGGGCAGCCAACCAAGGAGGCCAGAGCTCGCCCAGAGGGTCCAGGCTGGTTCACTGAGACCCTGCAGGGACCTGAGCCAACGTCCACGTGCTGGACTTTCAATAATGTGACGCAAACACTGTTATGATTTTAAGACATTTCTGAATCCATCTTTAAGAAGGTTTCATCTGTCACAAAGGCTGGAGAAGCCTGGAGCCTGGAACGTCTCTGGGGGTCACGTTGGCTTGCAGAGGGGTGTCTGGCACTTTCCAGTGGGGGTGCCGGGCCCTCCCCAGGCACGTGCCCCTTCTCTGTTCCCGGAGGGTGGTTAATAAAGGCTGGGACAGCTTTGAGTTCCAGGAGATTCATTCTGCTCTGATTCATTCTCTCTTTTCCAAAATACTTTTTTTTTTTTGGCTGAGTTGTGTCTTTTGTTTCTGCGTGGGCTTTTTTCTCTAGTTGCAGACATCAGGGGCTACTCTTCATTGCAGTTCGTGGGCTTCTCATTGCAGTGGCCTCTCTTGTTGTGAAACACAGGCTTCTAAGTGAACAAGCTTCAGTAGTTCCACTTGCGGGTTAAGTTGCTCCACAGCATGTGGGATCTTCCCGGATCAGAGACTGAACCTGTGTCCTCTGCATTGGCAGGCAGATTCTTTACCACTGAGCCACGAGGGAAGCCCTCAAAAATACTTTTAATGAGATAAATTGTGAAGCAATCGAAGGGCTCTGACTACTATTGCAAAAAACGTAAAAACAAAACAAATAGCCTTATTTCTTGTCAGGATACTTTAAATCTCTTTTTCACAAAAAGGAGTTTCAGACATCTTACAGCACTGAGCTTGTCACCCGTACAGAACGTGACATAACTTGCTGTCCAAAATGATATGTTTTCGAAAGCAGTTATTAGTAATTATGCCAGGACAACGCAAACTAGGATGTCCAGGCCGGGACCGCCTGGCCCATGGGTCTTCCCTCAAGCACCCGTTCACCTTTGACCCTCATTGGCATTTGGGGGGCACCTCCTCTTTAGCCAAGAACCATGGCAAATGCTCCACCTTTCCTCTCTCATGTTAGTAAGAAATCTAATGGCATTTGGAACACACTTAGCCCAGGCCTGCCCCCGGGTGGGCCCTCAATAAAAGCAGTGACTTCCTGGTCGAGTTCCTAGGCTGTCCTGACCCCGCGCCTCAGAACCTTCACCCCGACACCCTACTTGCCCTCAGGGGCTCTCAGGATGCTCGCTGGTCCAAGCGTGGCCTTCATACCCAATCTCTGGGCTGCAGCTTCTCTAAGGAACTTGCTCCCGAGGCAGCCTCCCCACCCATGAGGGCGGCTTTCTGAGCCTCCATATTCAGCCCCTAGCACAGGGCTTACGCTGAGAATGTGTCTGGGATGGGGACACACCAGCACACTTCCCATCACCGGCCCCAACCCCGCTCATACACCCGCAGCCCACTCCAACCGCTCTGTGGGCAGGTCACACACGGGCCCAGGAGCTGGGGAAGCACAGAACCCTACAGACTTTTGGGGGACCAACACCAGGGGCTCTGTGAGCAGGCTTTGCCTGCTCAGAGGCCCCCTGTGCTGGCCGGGTCCCCTTGGCCACTCGTGGGGATGGACCTGTCTGGGGCCAGGTGGCCAGACTTCTGAAAATCCTAGTGCTCTCAGCAAAGGGAAATACAAATGACTAATTCAACCCCCTGAGCTGAACTTGGGGGAACCAGTGAAGGGGGGGCGTGGTCACACTTCACCAAGGCTTATATCTGCCCCCTTAGTCACAAACCACTGGCCAGGAAAACAAAAGCTGTGACTCCAGGGGCACGAGCGGCCACTCCTGGCTGTCGGCACAGATCTGGACGTGCCATGCTCGTCCTTTGTCATCACAGCTGCTCGCTGGCGGGAGGCGAGCAAACACGAGCTCCCTCCCACCCCCACCCACCTTCAGGTCGCCCTCGGTCACCTCCCCTGCCACCCTCTCAACACCTGCTCGCTCCCAGAACCCCTGCAGATCCGGATAAACAGGCACCACCGCAGGGCCCTCCTGAACACAAGACCGCACTTTGCTTCTGGGGGGAGGCACCTTCAAGGAACCGACCTCCCCTCTGGGCCATAAACGGACAATCTTTCCAAAGGATGGAGTCTAGGTGAAAGCGGTCTCCAGGGTACGGCACCCTGCTCCCCACACGGCGTTTTGCAGGGAAAAATGCGAAGGTGACCGTGCACGTCTAGCAACCACTGGGCCCACCTGACCCCAACAGGACCCCTGGCTCCAGATTTTGGGCATGTGTGGGAGGCTTCCTTTCACAAGGACGCGTCCTTATGCAGTTACATGGATGACCTGGGGGCAAAGGCCACCCCAGGACAAGCGACACAGCCCGTGAAGTTCCCTGCTGGGCAAGGTCTCCCACCTACAGCTCCCCGGGGGGCACCCGGGCGGGCAGGTGGCCCAGGTCGAGGACTCACCTTCAGGCGCAGGGGTAAGTCCTCGGGACTCTTGCCCGCCACCTCGTCATCATCGTCATCCTGCAGGAACAGGTCGGCGGGGATGATGCCCTTGGCGTACTTCTTGGTGATCTCCACAAAGTCGTCCAGGGCTATGTAGCTCTTGGCTGAAGCACAGGAGAGGATACACGTGGGGTTGGCGAGACCGTGAGCACCGCCACCCCGTGGAGATGGGCATGCGGCAGGCAGCAGCTGTGCCAGGGTCAGGCTGGAGTCGGGTGACCCCTCTCGGGCCCGGACGATGAGAGGAGAGAGAGGCAGGCAGGCCTGCCAAGGCCTTCTTGCCTTGGGGACCCCGCCATCCCTTCCCTGAAGCGTCCCTCTCCCCAACCCTCACCCTTCAAGCCCTGGGGGTCTGCCTGAACCAGGTTCCGTGCAGACCCTTCTTCAGAACATTTTCCACCCGTGTTGCTCTGACCCCCTTACCCCTTCGGCCCTGACCCGTGCAGCCCAGCCACCTACTAGCCCCTCCAGCCAACACACATCCTCCAAGGGCCTACTATGTGCCAGGCATGTGCTCAAACTTTCATTACCCCCCACCCCCAAGTTCAGCCTGACATCCCCACCTCCTCACAGCCCATGCTGGGGGCAACCCCCACTCCCAGCAGGGTGCCCCCAGGGCCTTTGCCAATGAGGTTCGCTCACTCAGCCTGGAGCATCCACCTCCTTGCCCTTCGCAGGCTACCCACCTCCCCACCCCCATCCATTACAGCCCCCACCTTCTTTCTCCATCAGGGACAGTTATACTGCTTTCTTGTCCCTCCAGTGTATATGCTCCCAGTGGGTGGGGTCCAAATCCCAGAGCCCAGGACACCGACACCCAACCAACAGCCCCAATGGGGCTGGACGGAAGATCCATCAGCCTCTGAGACCCTAGGGGCCAGAGACATGATGCCCAGGGTGGTGGGGGCGACAGAATGGCCAAAGGTGTGGCTAGTACAGGACTGGCGGCCGTACTCACATTCGCTGCTGACCAAGCGCTCCAGCACCCGTCTCTGCTTCTGCAGGGACTTGGGGATGGGCCCAGGTTGCACCCCACCATCTGCAGGGACAGAGCGAGTGAAAGTCAAGGCCGGCTGACTGCCCCATCCCCTGCAGTGAGTGAGTGAAAGTCACTCAGTTGTGTCCGACTTTTTGTGACCCCACAGACTATACACTTCGTGGAATTCTCCAGGCCAAAATACTGGAGTGGGTAGCCTTTCCCTTCTCCAGGGAATCTTTCCAACCCAAGGATCGAACCCAGGTCTCCCACAGGTAATCCCCAGGTAGAGGATTCTTTACCAGCTGAGCCACAAGGGAAGCCCAAGAATACTGGAGTGGGTAGCCTATCCCTTCTCCAGCGGATCTTCCCAACCCAGGAATTGAACCGGGGTCTCCTGCATTGTAGGCGGATTCTTTCCCAACTGAGCTAGGAGGGAAGCCCCATCCCCTGCAAATTCCTAGAAACTCGTCAGTGTCCTCCATGCAGCCCTGGAGGGCTGTGCAAGGGCCAGCCCTTGGGGCCACCACTGCTCAACCTCCATCACAAGGTGACTCGGGCCCCGCTGGGCACACCCCAAGCCCTGGACTCAGCACACTCTCTGATCAGTGCAGCCTGCCCCTGGACACCTTTGCTGGCATTGTCTCTTGGTGTGATCTTCCCCTGGAAGAGACCAAGCTCCCCAGGGCCACTGGGCAGGCCTTCCTGTGTCCCCGGCCCTGGTGCAGAAGTCAGTTCAGTGGGTGAACACCGAGCCAGGACTGAAGTATTGACACACTCCCCCGCCAACACCCACACCCAGCAGGCGTTCACTGGGCTCTCCCCATGACAGGCTCCAGGCGGCCTTTGCAGGGTCGGGTCAGGTAGGGGCTGGACCACAGGGCGAGACAACACGAGTGGAGGGGGGCGCTGTGACCGAGAGGGGCCACAGCAGCCCAGGTGAGCCCAGATGGGGGTGAGGGGGCAGCAGGAATGGGGCGGGGCTGTGGCCCTGCAGGGTCACTGGGGCTCCATGAGGGGCGGCATGCCTCTTGGGGGTCCTGCCACTGGAGTCCCAGGCCTCACGGCTGCCTCTGTCAGTCCCCAGAGGATCAGAGATCAGACAAGAGTCCTGCCTGGAGAAGGGGCAGAGGTGCCCGCCCACCCATCTTCTCTGATGTGTCGGCAGGTGGCCCCAGCCCCAGCCCCACCCGCCAGCATCTCCCCCTCGGGGCAGGAGCCAGCTGGGTGGAGCCCTGGGCAGGTGCTTCTCAAGGTTACGAAGAGACAAAAGTCAGCCCCGACCCCGGAAATGGAGAGACCACATCCAGTCAGGGATGCCCATTCTCCTGGCCATCTGTCCTTCCGGCTGCCCGTGCCCTGCTCGGAAATCTGGGTTAGGAGGTGGGGGCACCAACGAGGCTGGCGATGGGGCCAGCCCTGGAGAGGCTCTCGGGGATTCGGGGATCCAGGTCGCTGCCCGCACCTCTCACTCCCCCACTCCCTGCCCCCTTTGGGAGGAGGAGGACACCCTGGAAACGCCAAGCCCTGCAGCTCTGCCCGTGGGCAGCAGGTGAGAACCCTAGGGATGGAGTGAGTCACAGAACCAGAGCTGGAGGGGGGCTCCAGGAACAGGACACCCAGGAAGGACGCCCCAGAGCCTTCCAGGACACCTGCAAGGGCCCCACGAGAAGCTCCCTGGAGCCCCAGGATCACGGCACCGAAGCCCAGGAGGCCCCACGGGCAGACCGCGTACCGTGCTCGTTGACCTGCCCCACGTTCTCCAGCAGCTCCGCCACGGCCACCTGCTTCTTCTTCTTGGGGTTGAGCTTCCAGTACATGACGAGGGCCGCCTTGCGCACGGCCCGCTCCAGGTCAGTCTCAGAGGAGAGCTGCCTCACCTCCTGCTCGTTCTCAGAGGTGATGCCTGAGAGAGGGAGGCGTCAGAGGCCTGGGGCCGCCCGCCCGCCCAGAAGCTGGCAGGGATGCCCTAGCCCCAGCCAGCCCCGGCCAGCCCCGCCTGAAGGGGCTTGAGAAGAGATTCCCGTGAGTGACTTTGCAGGCATCTTCGTCACCACAGTGGAAACGAATGTCCGGCCAGAAGGGTGTCTGGCCTGAGTCCCCAAGGGTGGGAGGCTTGGCCCAGCCTTTCAGTAGATGCTCACCGAGTGGACACAGAGGGCCGGCGCTGGGCAAGGCCTCCCCACCTTCCTGGCTCACTCCAGCCTCCCAGCTGGAGGACCCTTCACAAGGACCCCTCTGGTGGGGTGCTGCTCTTCCCATCTCATAGATGGAGAAACTGAGGCATCCAGGGGCGGTGGCCTGGACTTGGTGCCAAGGCCACAGAGTCAGAGAGATGGAGCTGGTCTCAAACCCCAGTCAGTCTCACTGCAGTGAGTGGCCAGGCTGCAAGACGGCCAGGGCAGCCGGGAGCAGTGTCTCCTCATAGACGGCCCTTTCCCAAGAGGCAAGGCTTGCTCACGGAAAGACGGGGAGCAGGTTTCATGGGCTGTTTAGCGGCTGCCTTTCCCCTTGCATGGGGACTGCCAGGGACATCAGCCTGGCCCCCACCCCACCCCAGGGGACAGTGAGACTGGGGGCGGAGGACTGATATTTTTTTTCTTCTTTGGAGCATCTCCCTAACCTTTCACTGGAGCCCACGTTTCTTGTATGATCAGGAGGCGTTCAGTATGAGAAGGTGGAGGGTGTGGGCCACAACAGGCCCCCTCCCTCACACGCCGGCCAGTCCTCAGATCTGCCCTGGCCCCCTCAGGGCCTCTGGGAAGACACCTGGCTCCAACAGTGAACTCTGGGGGCCACACTGACTCAATTGGCCAGTGCAAGACCATCCCACCTGCCCTGGAGCAAGGGAGGCTGGCTTGGTAAGAAATTCTGGCCAGCAGAACATGACCATTCTAAGTCATTAAAGACATCAGGCTAATGTCCAGAGAAAGGATATTCTATACAATAATAAATAATGTTAATAAATATTATTTCTATATATATCTCATATATATACATACATAATAAATATATATGTACATAAAAATAATGAATAGAAATTTTGTTTTATATATATCTGGATGATAACCTTAATGTTTAAAAAAAAATTCCAATACAAAACCAGAAGGAAAAACAGTAAACTACGGAGCACTTCTCTCTGGATTTCAAGATAATTTTTAAAGATAATTTCTATCTTTATGTTTTCTATATAGTTCAAGTTTTCTATAACAACCGTAAACACTTCTGCAATCTGAGCGGGATAAAAAAAAGGCCTCCTTTATGACACACACACTTTTACCTTTCTTCTGAGGTTTGAACCTTCTGGAAGTACTTTTCCCTGAAACCAGGAATGAACCACTTCCCTTGGGCAGGATAACACAGTAAGTGTCCACAAGTGGCCAGGCTACACATCACTGCCCCCCAACCCCCACGCCCATCCTGGCAGCGAGTGCTAGCCTGGGCGGCCCCTTCACTGGCCCCCAGTTCCCAGCTGCTCCGCTCAGACTAGATGGAAAGTCAGTTCAGAAAGGGCCACTCCAACCTCAGTCCTGTCATGCCCTCCAACTTGGCTCCACGGTCTACTCCTCAATTTGGATGAGGACCCAGATGGTATATCTCCTTGTAGACCCCACCACAAGTTAAAGAGGATGAAAATGGCTTTGTTCCTACATATCCCATGTTATACTCCATCATCTACACGGCAAAGCCACGAGTGCAACAGAAACCACACTCACTTTCTAACAGCGTCGCCAGCACCAGGTTTCCCTGTTGCTATTTCGGTTGTTAATTTAGCAGAATAGTACAGCATCCCTCATGGGTCCCTCCAAGCCTCGTCACCTACCTCTTCTGTCCGCCAGGCATCGGCGGAGAAGCTTGACGGCCTCGCGCCGGCCCTGCTTGGCAGCGAGGGTCAGCCAGTCCACGGCGGTGCAGTTGTTGAGCTCTTCGTCCCCGTCGCCGGCCAGCTGCAGGTAGTGCTTCCCCACCTGCAAGCAGGATCTGGTCACACCACACTCTGCAGCGGCCTCCGGCCCCCGTGCCGCACCCAGGCCCCAGTCCACGTCCTGCCTTGCCCCCGCCCAGAGCCAGGCAACCTCGGGCTCCCTCAGCCTGTCCGCCCGCTGCTCCCAGCCAGAGCGGGGTGTGGGGGCTCCAACCCCAGCTGCAGGTAGTGCTTCCCCACCTGCAAGCAGGATCTGGTCACACCACACTCTGCAGCGGCCTCCGGCCCCTGTGCCGCACCCAGGCCCCAGTCCACGTCCTGCCTTGCCCCCGCCCAGAGCCAGGCAACCTCGGGCTCCCTCAGCCTGTCCGCCCGCTGCTCCCAGCCAGAGCGGGGTGTGGGGGCTCCAACCCCCACTGATGAGATGAGAGACGGGGTGGGGGCATGCGGACAGGCGGGAGGCAGGGCTGGCATCAGAGGAGGTGATGCCCAAGTTCAGGAGTGAGTTGGACAGAGGTGAACACATACATGCTCCCTGGAGGGTGGTGGGGAGAAAATCAACACATCACAAACATGGCAACACCACAAATGGGGGCCCGCGCGTGGCAGGTGCAGGCAGGCTGCACCCAGGCCCACTAGCACGGTCAGCACCAACCTGTCCCGGGCCCCCCAGGCTGAGGGCACTGCAGCCCGAGCCTCCCCACGGACACTGGTCCTTACCTCCGTCTGTGCCTTGGGGTCCCCAGCCTTTGCCTTCTCCAGGACTTCCTCAAAGGGGGTGTCCACATCTCCCTTCGAAGGTCCTTTAACACAGGGAAGCAAGCAGATGGACGGTCACCATGCTGGTCCTTGTCGTTTGCCGGAGGACAAGAGGGGCTGGCAGGAACGGGCTTCAGCCCCAAGTCAGGAGCGTGAGAGCAGGTGTGGAGAGGAGCCGCCAGAATGCTCCCTCCGTTGCTGCACAGTCAGGGAGCAAGGACCACAAAGCTGCTGAGGGGCTCCAGGAAGGAACCCCTGTTCCAGGCACAAGGAACGCGCGGGGCCAGGCCAATAACCACTGTCACCCCCAGGGCTCACTGCAGCCAGAGCGGCTGATCTGAGGCTTGAACAGGGCTCTAGAAAGATGCAAGAGATGGAATGAAAGCTCCTGAGGTTCCTTATTTAATGATTTAAAGAACCTGCACCCCAATGCCAAGCATCCCAATAAACAAATCTATGTTTTCCAAGACAGTCATCTACACACGATTGACTTTGGGAGGTCATACTCACAGTACATACATTTTGAAATATACACATACATATTTGCAATATTGAATCACAACCAACTTTGCATGTGGCTCTGCAATGAAATGTATGACTTCAGTGGCTCAGAAATCCCACTGAGGGGAAGCTCAGGGCCTCTGGGCCTCTCTTCTCCATCGGACCTTTAGATTATTCCTAGACTCCCTAATTTTATAAAATGATGCCACAAACCAATCTGTGCGTGTATTTTTATTTGGGGGGCATTCTCCTGGTATGGGTTTTTCAGGTGAACTACTTGATCCAAGGGTCCAAATATCACATATCTTGTGCAATATTTACTTCGTAAAATGTTATCTTAAGTTACAAAAGCTTCATGTAACTGATTTCACTACAACCTCTCCTGCAGTGCATAGCATAACAAAAAGTGTTTTTTTTTTTTAAATCACTTTTCACCGGTACCTTTTTCTGGTTTAAGTAACCAATACAGGGGGCCTATGCCCGACACCACACCTTGCCTCCACCAATGATCACCTCCCATCTTAGCAGGTGCTTATCTGGGGTTAACAGTCTCTCGATCTCTAGATACTTCTGGAAACAGAAGGCAGAATGCAGGGAAATAAGAGCCGTCCCTAGGAACAGTGCTGGATGTCTAGCCATCCCGACCCGTTCCTCCAGACCTCTCCCAGGACCAGCTCCGTCCACAGGCTCAGAGTTAGCCCCTCTGTGCAGGGTGACTGAGTCTACACACCCACCAGGCCCAGTTGGGAGGCAGCAGGGCAGGGGCCTACGGTGACACAGCTCTGAAGTTCAAAGGCAGAGCAGTCACATCCAGTTTGGAGCACGCGGGAGCGGGAGAGGGTGGCTGGGGGTGGCTCAAAGGGGAAGATTCTTCCTGAGACTCACAGGTCAGGCCCCTGCACCGCGCCCTTCTTGGTGGACGGTGTGCAAACATGATACCCGCCCCTTGTAGAGCTCCCCCTGCTGAGCTTCCTCACCAAGGCCCTGGGCCCAGGACACCCACCCCAGCCCAGTGGCCCCGGACCGCGGTGCTTCTTAGTCATCAAGGTCAGATCTCCCTTCTGGCTGCTGTCACATTCTCTGCCGGCCCTGGAATGCACTTTCCGGCCAAGGGCTCAGACTAAGAGAACAAAGAGGAGGGCAGGGAAGGAGGGTGTGCGGGGTTAGAGAAATCTGACCCGAGTGTGAATCTGCCTTTAGCACTCTGAGCCTTAGGAGTGAAAGAACATTGCTACCCTATCGGTAAACTGGAGAAGGGAATGGCAACCCACTCCAGTGTTCTTGCCTGTAAAATTCCATGGACAGAAGAGCCCAGTGGACTATAGTCCATGGGGCCACAAAGAGTCAGATACGACTGAGTGATGGAGCATCTATCAGGAAACAAAGGATGTGACAGTCCCTCCTGCCATGCGCTCTGGGGAGACACAGGATGAGAAAGCACAGGATACTGACCTCAGAGGGCTGAGGGGCAGATCAAAGGAATGATTTCCGTGAGCCCAGACTCTTGCATCTTCCCCGTACACAGAAAAGCACTAAATTCCCTAACTCAAGATATCTGGTTTTCTTTAATTAACAGTACTCTATTGATGTTCTGACCACCTGATCTTTGTTGCAAAAACTCCTGTGTATCCTGGCTCCTCCCTTGTCTCTTGGGAGCAGTATTTCAGCGCAATCTGAGATCTGAGAGGCTGTGTTCCAGGGTTAAGTCTTCAATTTTGTCCACCAAATAAAACATAATTCTCAACTTTTAGGTTGTGCTTTTTTTTTTTCAGTTGACAGCATCAAAGTGTTGTGTGACCGTGCGAGACTCATTTCCAATCCCATCGTCAATATCCAGCCGGTAGGACTGTTAGTGAAGAATGGGACACTTGGGATTAGGTGCTGGTCAAGAGTTGGGTGTTCTCAGGGTGTATCCCCTTCCCCACTCCATGCCCTACCTCCCTCTGCTGACCCAGGGCCTCCCTGGATCACTGAGGCCACATGTCCCAGTTCAACACCAGTTACCTCCTGCGAGTTCACAGCTCTTTTCCTGACCCACTGAAATCGCAAGTCCAAGGTCATGGAAGATTCAAGCATAGATTTATTGGCTAAAAAGATTATTCTGTCCATGATTAATTTTCCACGGAAGTTATTCATAGCCTGACATTTTGCCATGAAATGAAAGGAGAGCCCCAGAAATTGTCCCCTCCCCCGGTCCAGTCCATCTCCGCGTTCCTGCGTCTCTCACGGCCCCACATTCCTTTAATGGAGACGATCTGTGACCAGCAGGTTTGGCCCATCTCCATCCCCTGGGGCAGGACACAGATCAGCAAGTGCTGGACAGACAGAGGGATGAATGGATGGGGGACCAACAAGGGAAGGGTCTCCAGCTGTCTCCCCAAATCCTCACACGGCGCCTGGAACACGTGTGGCCTGGGAATTGAACTGCCAGGCTCACCTTCCTGATCTGAGCAGGTTCTAAGTAGAAATGGACAAGGATGAGTACTGAGCAAGTCAAACGTTCCCACTCTTCAGGACCCACCCTGGGCCCGTAGGCTGGGGAGCCTCAGGCACCCCCTTCTCAGCAGTCCCAAGGGCTCTGTCAGCCCCTTGATGCCCACCAAGCTCTCCCGGAGCCAGCTGGGAGAAAGAGAGAGAAGCTGGCTTCCAGTTTCACCGGCCCGGCCGCTGCAATCTAGATTGGCTGGAGCGCATTGTTTAAATTGCTGAATGCGTGCCAAAGGCTCTGAGAAGAAGAGCACAATCTGAAACACGCAGTGAGCAACTGTTACGCTCCCGTCTCTCGGGGCTGCTGCCCTTCTGCATCCTTACTCGCTGGCCCCAGGGCAAGGCCTTGGCCTCCCGAGTCCCCAGTCCTCTCCTGATGCCTGCCGCGTGGGCTGAGCTGAGGGAAAGGTGACAAGAATCCAAGGGCATCCCGTGTGTCCTTCTCATCACTGTGGGCAGTTGGGTCACCCTGAACCCGGGGGTGCCCCATCAGCCTTCGAGATGCTGACTCTGGTTCTCATGAACACACAGGAAGGACAAGCCTTGCGACCCCATCTCTCCCAGAGGCCTGGCTGAGCTCTAAGGCGGAGGTCCCAGCCAGGGGGGGGTCCCAGTGGGCCCAAGCGGGGGTCATGGACCTCACCCCTCATCACTCACCCAGCAGACATTTACTGAGCACCAGCTCTGGACCAGTCTGGATGCCGGGAGCCAAGGGCACGGAGCTGAAAGACATAGGAACCCCCGCTCTCCCTACCCACCCAGGGGCCCAGCAAGGACAGCCACAGTCCAACAGTGTAGGCTCAGGGGAATCCATGGAGGTGCCGGGAGTCAGCAATCCTGATGGGAGAGGCTTTTCAGAAGAGGTGACGCCTATGACTCGGAATGCAAAGAGGAGGGGAAAGGTAAGGGATGAAGGGCATACTGACCAGTTTCCTGAGGTCTCAGGAAGCCACCAGACCTGAGACAGCCTCATTGCCCCAGCCAACTGTCCTCACGACAGGTCACCTTAGAGTGAGGGGGTCACAGGGATGCTACGGCAACCAGCCAGACCAGGGCTTCCATCAGAGTCAGGATAAATAACCCAGGTACAGAGCTCCCGAGATCATCAAGCCAGCACCGCCACCGGACAAGGAGAAACTGAGTGTTTATGGCTGTGACTTGCCCCCAGGGCGGCAGGGAGGCAGCGCATTGCATCCACCCCCTCACCCCATCACCTCCCGGCCTTCCTCGGGGCCCATTCCCGCCATCCAGCTCTGAATCCCACTGCGAAACTGCCTGCCCACCCCCCAGGCCCACCTGATAGCTCCAGCCAGAGGCCTGGAATCAGTCTAGCTCCCCTGAAGCCCAGTCCACCCACTGCCCTGCCTTGCCACACTGGCCTCAGCTCCCATGGTTGTCCACAGTCATCTCCATATAACAGAAATCATGCTGTTCCTCTCATTTAAAGGCTTTAACACTCTCCAGAACACCCATTCTCCTTACCCTGACCCTCGAGGCCCTACTTGAGACACTCTGACCTCGTGACCCCACGTCCAACTGCTGCCCAGAGCCATCAACCTTGGAGCTCTTCATGCCCTGTGTCTTGCACCATTTGGGGCTCCCTTCGCTGACCTGGGGTCTCCCTCCTGCAGGCCCTGCCCACCGTCTCCTGCACCCGCTGGGCAGGCCCTCAGTTAGCACCGGGGTGAATGCTTCCTGGCAAAATCTAGTCAAAGCTCTGGTTTTTCCAGTGGTCATGTATGGATGTAAGAGTTGGACTATAAAGAAAGCTGAGCACCAAAGAATTGGTGCTTTTGAACTGTGCTGTTGGAGAAGACTCCTGAGAGCCCCTTGGACTGCAATGAGGTCAAACCAGTCAATCCTAAAGGGAATCAGTCCCAAATATTCATCAGAAGGACTGATGATTAATCTGAAACTCCAATACTTTGGCCACCTGATGCAAAGAACTGACTCACTGGAAAAGACCCTAATGCTGGGAAAGATAGAGGGTGGGAGAAGGGGACGACAGAGGATGAGGTGGTTGGATGGCATCACCGACTCAATGGACATGAGTTTGAGTAGACTCCGGGAGTTGGTGATGGACAGGCCTAGCGTGCTGCAGTCCGTGGGGTCACAAAGAGTCGGACACGACTGAGTGACTGAATGGAACTGAACTGGACGTGGCTGGAGAAGTGAGTTAACATAGACAAGCACCACAGGTGATGCCTAGCCTGGAAAGTGCTATGTCATCTTCCTCTTGCTGTTACTTACTTGACTGATGCTCAGCAGAACTTTGCTAGGTGGACAGGGGAGTTGATTAAAACTAACCCCAATCCCTCCCTGGGTAGATGATTTCTGGGCTGTGCAGGGCTGGCAGGGCGGGGTCTGCTGTATTCAATTCCACGATGGTGACGGCACAGGAGAGGGATACAGCACAGCCCAGACGTGTGGGGTCGGGAGCCAAGGCTGCCAACCTGCCCAGGACTCGCTCAGTACTCTCTGCCCCTCCCCTCGGGGACAGAAGCCAGTGGAGACCACATCTGTTTCCTGACTCTCCTTATCTGAAACCGGCAGTCTTGACTCGGTCTGTCCTCTGAGGCTGTTTCACTTCACCCAGATTGAAATCAAGCATGTTTCCAGCCCAGGTCTCCATGCCCTGCAGCTGCGGGGTGGTGTTTGCGGCTGGACCGAGATTCCGGATCAGGCCCGGGTCTGCCCGAAGGCCTTGGAGACAGAGCAGAGATCTCTGAAGGAGACGCGGAGCTCAGAAGGGCCCAGTGGGTGTTTCTAGGGTAAGGTGGGCACTGGTCCCTCACAGTTGCATGGGGAGCTCAGGCTTGGCTCACCCTCCAGAGTCCGGAGGTCCCTGCAGCTCCGCTGGGGGCAGGGGGCCTCATGGGACAGGAGACTGGGGTCACCCCGCACCCATCATCACCCAGTGCTGGCCCCTCCGGGAAGTCAGGGGCCCAGTTTCCTGGTCTCTAAATGGGAACAAGGACAGAGCCTCCCTCTTGGGCTGCCGTAAGAGGTCACGTAAAGCCTCCGGTCCACAGAGCACCTGGCAGGTGTCACCACCACGGGTCTGGGACCTCTGCACGGAGCAGTGGTGGTGCTGAGCTGGGGGTGGTCACCTCAGGCAGCCAGCTTCTCAAGGGGAAAAACGAAACAAGGCTGAGTGAGCAGAAGAAGGGGGGGTGGGGCTGGGACCCCCTTAATTCACACAGATCTCCTGGGGGAGGGGAGGACCCTGTGACCACAAAAGTCTTGGCATCTTCCCTTGCGGAGGTGCAAGACACGAGAAAGCACACGCACATGTGCACACACGCAGTCTGCAGCGCAAGCCTCCCAGGGGGGAAGAGTCTGACACTCACACGAAGCCCCTGCGTGCACACACACAGGGCCCGAAGCCGAGGTTAAGGCTGGTCACCCAAGAGGGGCTGGGTGGGGCCCTAAAACTGGACAGATGCCTCAACGTGCATGGCGACACCCCAGCAGGGGCCTGAAGAGGAAGGGGTGGGGGGGGGAGGAGGCTTGATGACACCCACGCAGCACATCAGGTTCTGCAGCTCGAGGCACGGACCCGCTCCCCCGCACCACCACCCAGGCACCTAAGGGACCAGAGGCCTTGACTCAGCACCGCGTCCCACGCGCCGGGCTGATGAGCACGAGGTCCCGGCATGCAGGGAGGCTCCACATGGCTGCTCTGACTTTACAGAAACCGTCTCAGCGAGGCCTCCCGACTCCCTGGAGGGCACACAGCTCAAGGTCGCTAGCCCAGCCAAGCATCCCACCCCGGCTGTCTCTGCCCTTCCTGCACCACCTCGTGGGCCCGGATGCTCCATACATAAACAGCTCCTATGGAGAGACGCGAGCTCCGGCGTCCCGGCCGGGGTGGGCAGGAAACCAACACTGGCGCCCAACCAGAGAGCAGTTTTCAAACTGAAGACGTCAAGCCAGGTCACAGAACCAACTGAACTGCCCAAAGCAGCATTTGTTTGCACATAAAAGCAAGCGCATGGAGGCTTACCAGACAGCCAGGCACACAGTAAAGGCAAGTATTGTTTTGGAAATTTCCATTCCCACTGCGTGTGCGTGTGTGTGTTGTGTGCATGCAGGCACGTGGGCGTGGGCGCCAGGTTATGACTACGGTACATGTATTTCTTACTGTGGGCAGAGGTCAGAAAGTCTAACAGGCGGTGAGCCACGAAGAGGAGCCGCGGGGCTTTCACCACCCCTGGAGCTCGTGTCCCCAGCGGGCTCTGTTTTGATCACTGTACCTACAGTGGAAGCCAAGGCCCCTATTTCACAGGGTTGGTCACTGTGAGTATAAGACAGACATACTGAGAAGCACTGCGTGGGTTATTAGAAAAAGTAATGTCGATGCCAGCTATATTTTCCCCAAACATCACAGCTGGAGACCCAGGGATCCTTGCTTTTATGAAACTGACAGCAAGGCTTGAGGCTTTTTACCTACAACAGCCCCTGAAGCGCAAAAGAAATTTTCAGGACAGCTCCTGTGATGGCCTGCTGCCTGGTCCTGACCCGGCTCACTCCTGCTATAGCTCAATTGCAAGCCTGACACATGAGCATCACCACTCCGATCCCTCCTTCCTTCCTTCCACCCCGTGACCTGGGAGGTCCAGGGCTCTCTCCAGGCCAAGCCCACCCCAGGCGAGGCCAGTTCTTCCCTCTGGCCCTTGCCCGAGCTGTGCTCTCTCCCCCCGCAGGCTCCAACTTGCTCAGGCACCATCTCTTCCCAAGGCAGGCGCCCAGCTCCCTCCCCAGCCCGCACCAGGGCCACCTCTGTGCTCCCCAGGCCCCATGCTTCCACGAGACTGTGGACCCCTCAGAAGCAGGGCTCACCTGTGCCACCGATGGCCGCTCAGGCTGGCAGAAGGCTGTGCTCAGTGAGCAGCAGGTGGACTGACCAAACCCTGGCAACCCTCCCCCAATGTCAGTGAGGCGGCCGGCACGACAACCAGCGGTCCCAGCCCACCTGGGGCCTCACACTGTCTCATCTCGGCCCCTGAGAAGTGCTTCCCAGGACAGACTGGAAACCTGCAGGGCGCCGGGCCTGGGCATGGAGGACAATGGTCCAGAGGGCAGCGGGGACCTGGGCCAGGGGCCCAGGTGAATTCCAGGGTGTCAGCTGGCCTCCAAGGGGAGTGGCCACATGAGGTCCCCAGACCAGGCAGAGCGACCTGACCGAATGGCCACCTGAGAAGTGGCCATGGTGGACAAGGGATGATGATGATGTGGGCCGCCCTGAGTGCTGGGGGGTACCAGAGAGGAGCCTGCCTCTGGCCACCTCCCACCACACAGAGCCTGGTGCAGACCACCTGCCACGTCCCTGAGCAGGTGGGAGCTGGTGCATTCGATGATAAATAAAGGAAGACATCTGCTGCAGTCTGTGAACTTGGGAGCAAATCCTGCTGGGCAGTGGGAGTCAACAGGCCTGGGTGGAGTGGTTGGGCCCCTGACTTCAGGGGACTCCCACCTGTGGAAGGAACCTTGCAGGGGTATCTGGACCACGTGCCAGGACCCGGGTGTCCACGCTGCCTACAGAACACCACCCCCCCAGGGGAGGACAGTCCGGCATTCCAGGCCCCGTCCCTTACCTGTTCCATCCATCCTCTCTCGGCTCCTGGCCCGCGAGGCCTGGGGTATAGCTGGGGCGGCTGGGTCTCTCCCATCTGATCCAGGTCCAACTTGGGGTCCAGGAGTGGGGGGCACCCTGCTGATCTCCTGCTCCACCGAGGTGGTGGCATTGAGCCGTGAGCGGGCCTGGGGCTGCGGTGGCGGCAGAGGCTGGGGGACGGAGGGGCTCGGAGGAGGGGCGCTGGAAGCCATCCTGAGGCGAGAAAAACCAGGGGGTCAAACACACAAAGCCAGTCAAGCCCAGGCTGCCCTAGCCTCTAGCTTTTGGTGGAGAGACGAGACGGCAAAGGGAAAACAGGGTGGGCGCTGCCCAGCATTCCATGTGATCTCACTCAACCTCACGACAGCTCCCCCAAAGACACTTCCATTTCACAGATGAGGAAACTGAGGGAGGAAGCTCGCTCAAGGCCTGCTGGCTCGGCAGGTCCCACAGCAGTCATGAGCTGGGCCCTCAGTCTCCAGGCCTTGAGTCCTGGGCCTCGGGTGTGCTCATCTGAGAAATGGGGATGTGGAAGGTCAGGGGGATTCAGTGAGATGGTCCACACGGAGCCCTGGGCACAGCATCTGGCTGCACTGGAATGAAGCTGGTCTCCCAGTCTGTCCACCCAAAATCTGTGCAGGGGACCTTATTTGGAAGATGAGGGTCTTTGCAGATTATAATCAAGGATCTTGACAAGAGAGCATCCTGGCTTAGGGTGGGCCCTAATCCAAGGACCGGGGTACTTATAAGAGGGTAACACACAGAGAGGAGGATGCCACATGGAGGAGGAGGCAGAGATCGGAGATGTGGCTGCAGGCCCAGAGACACTAACACCCTAAGTCAGGAAAGACAAGGAAGGACTCTCCCGCAGAGCCCCCCCGGACAACCAACCCCGCCGAAATTCTGATTGCAGACTGCTGCCTCCAGAGCTGCGAAACAAAAAATTTCTGTTCTTTAAAGCCACCAAGTTTCTCTCAATTTCTTATTAGAGCCCTAGGAAAAGAATACACTGGCACAAAGTGGAAGTTTAAAATAAACTTGAGAGGGGCTTCCCTGGTGGTCCAGTGGTTAAAACTCTGAGCTCCCAATGCAGGGGACTGGAAGCCATCCTGAGGCGAGAAAAACCAGGGGGTCAAACACACAAAGCCAGTCAAGCCCAGGCTGCCCTAGCCTCTAGCTTTTGGTGGAGAGACGAGACGGCAAAGGGAAAACAGGGTGGGCGCTGCCCAGCATTCCATGTGATCTCACTCAACCTCACGACAGCTCCCCCAAAGACACTTCCATTTCACAGATGAGGAAACTGAGGGAGGAAGCTCGCTCAAGGCCTGCTGGCTCGGCAGGTCCCACAGCAGTCATGAGCTGGGCCCTCAGTCTCCAGGCCTTGAGTCCTGGGCCTCGGGTGTGCTCATCTGAGAAATGGGGATGTGGAAGGTCAGGGGGATTCAGTGAGATGGTCCACACGGAGCCCTGGGCACAGCATCTGGCTGCGCTGGAATGAAGCTGGTCTCCCAGTCTGTCCACCCAAAATCTGTGCAGGGGACCTTATTTGGAAGATGAGGGTCTTTGCAGATTATAATCAAGGATCTTGACAAGAGAGCATCCTGGCTTAGGGTGGGCCCTAATCCAAGGACCGGGGTACTTATAAGAGGGTAACACACAGAGAGGAGGATGCCACATGGAGGAGGAGGCAGAGATCGGAGATGTGGCTGCAGGCCCAGAGACACTAACACCCTAAGTCAGGAAAGACAAGGAAGGACTCTCCCGCAGAGCCCCCCCGGACAACCAACCCCGCCGAAATTCTGATTGCAGACTGCTGCCTCCAGAGCTGCGAAACAAAAAATTTCTGTTCTTTAAAGCCACCAAGTTTCTCTCAATTTCTTATTAGAGCCCTAGGAAAAGAATACACTGGCACAAAGTGGAAGTTTAAAATAAACTTGAGAGGGGCTTCCCTGGTGGTCCAGTGGTTAAAACTCTGAGCTCCCAATGCAGGGGGCCCAGGTTTGATCCCTGGTCAGGGAATTAGATCCCACACGCTGCAACAAAATTATCCTTCATGCCTCAGTGAAGACCTGGTACAGCCAAATAAATGAATAATAAAATATTTTAAAAAACATAAACATGAGAAGCAGAGGGAGGGAGGGAAAGGGGGAGAGGAAGAGGGGGTGGAAGACAGGTGCAGGGGGAACACAGCCCCTGGAGCAGAATGTGGTCAGGCCTGGGCAACTCCAAAGCCCTCCATGCCAGGCCTGAACCTCAAGACACGACTCAGCGAGCCTGAGAGCACCAGATATGAGCCCATGCTAGATGTGGGTGATGGAAACCGGGGGGCCGGTGTGTCGGAACCGATGACGGGAACAGACTGGCAAGCATAGAGATCCGATGACCAACGGGGGCAAAGGGCTTGATTAGTCAATACCGCTATTTAGCAACAAGGCGAAAATCACCAATGACACAACTGGGGGTGACCACGAGCCCCAGACTATGGGGCTGAGAGCTCCAGGCCTTCCCCAGCCCCAGGACCCCAGACCGGGGCCCTGGGGACCGGCGGTGGGCTTCCGTGGGCACAGACACTGAAGCAGATAGGACTGCGTGCACTGTGCCAGGGATCCTCAAGGATCCCACGGCCCCCACCCCAGCCTCAAGGCCACGTCCACCCTCTTCGCTGAGATGAAGAAATGAGAGCAGAGTGGGGAAAGGCCGGGGGTGAGGAATCCGGCTCCCAGACTAACCCATCAACACCCCAGCCTCAAGGCCACGTCCACCCTCTTCGCTGAGATGAAGAAATGAGAGCAGAGTGGGGAAAGGCCGGGGGTGAGGAATCCGGCTCCCAGGCTAACCCATCACGGCCACTGTGCCTGCCAGCTCTAGGGTCATGAGCGGGCCACGTTCCTCTCTGCCCCTCAGTTTCCTCGATTGTAAATGGGGGTACTGTGAGGACTACATGAAATCAGAGACCAGAAGGGCCAGCTTCCCAGGTATCCAAAGTGCCCAGTTCGGCTCCCCCAAGCCTACAGGAGTGGGTATCTAACGCATGCCTAGAGACCGCCATCACTGGAAGAGTCAGAGGAGGCCCCAGGGGCCACACCACTTCCCCAGGGCTACACATCCACATCTGCACCATTCCCAGCTAGGGCTGTGTCCCAGAGATTGGACCTTCATCCACCAAAGGACGCTGGAGATTTCAATCTGGGCACGCCTCCCTCAGAGGGACGGAGCACTTATTTTAAAACATCCCCTTGGCTGCGAACCAAAAGCGCATCAAGCCACACGGATCTCTGCTTGGAAACCAATGCGGGGCTCAGTGCTGTTCCCGAACGTCAGGCTTCCGGGAACCAAACAAAGAGGCAACTTTTGTGAAATCCATCATCTGGGTAGACGGGCAGGCAGGCCCAGTGGGCAGGCGGCCAGCTGCAGGGGGGCGGGGAAAGTCAGCCATGGATTCGGCAGACAGAACCCAGCTGTGCGGGTCCCCGGCCGTCTGAGACAAACTACGTGGAGTCACGTCTGACCTCACCATCTCCTGTGGCTCCCACTGCTCTGGAATCAAGGGCCACCTTCCTGGAGTGGCAGAAGGCAGCTGGCCTTCAGAGGGCTGACCTACACCAGGGATCCTCTATCACTACTAACAACGCAACAGGCATGTCTGGAATGTGCCCTTCTCAGCAATTCCCACCGATTTCTCCTGGAGGTGCGGGGTGGTGGAGGGGAGGGCTGGCCCAGGAGGAGAGTCCTGCTGTTTGCCCTGCTGCGGTGGATGGAGAGATAACCTGTCCTTCCACGTTCACCCCCTTTCACAGACAGCAACTTCGGCTCCAGAAATGTGAGATCCCTGCCCAAGGCCTTGTAGTTCAGTCTTGGAGCTGGAATTCAAAACCACAGAGCCTCTCATTCAGAAAGACCTCGTTTCTGAAAAAGGCCTCTCAAAATCTGCCCACCTGCCTCTGCTATCCGACCCCCACCATGCCTTCTCTTCCCCCATCACTCACTCCCAAATGTGTGGTTCTGTGACCCCCACGCCTTAGCTCTCCAAGTCCCCCTATTCCTGGAAATGCCCACTGCCCCAGGACCAATCCTACTCGTTGTTCAAGTCAGGGCCCAACTTGCCCTCTTCTGGGAGTTTCCCAGCTGCCTCTGCCCTGAGTACTGTCTCCATCACCTGCTCTCAGGTAAGCACTCAGCACCCAGGGCATGTCTCCTGGAGAGCCCTCTCTCTGCCAGGTGGACAAGAAGGATTCACACCTGTCTATCTCCCCATCTACGAGGAAGGGTGGGTCAGGAGGGACAGCACCATCCCTCACCAGCAGGACACAATTTTTCCACCAAAAGCCAACACAGGGAGTGAATGTCAGTTCTACCTTTCATTAGTAGCTACTTAGGGCTTCCCTGGTGGCTGAGTGGTAAAGAACCCACCTGCCAATGCAGGAGACGCAAGAGATGCGGGTTCAATCCCTGCTTTGGGAAGATCCCCTGGAGTAGGAAATGAAAACCCACTCTAGTATTCTTGCCTGGAAAATCTGATAGAAAAGAGGGGCTTAGCGGGCTACCGTGCATGAGGTTGAAGAGAGGACAACTGAGTGACTGAGCACATAACCTCACAGGGTCTCAGTTTCCCCATCTGTAAAGAGGGAATAACACCTCCAATGAAGGGGTGCTCTGGGGCATAGGAGTGTGAAGAAAGAGAAAGCAGTCTGCAAACTATCAATCATTAAAAAAAAAAAAGCCATTTCTCCCAAGTGCAAAGCAAAGGCACATTCAGTTGAGACACCTTATAATAGAAATTTCAGAACAGGTAGCTTCTGGCTGGCCTCTTGGGCTAAGTATCCTGCATGTCACATTACAAACACAATGAAACTTTTAAAGTGAAATCTCTAGTTAGTGAGAATGGATGAACAGAGGAGGATTAATTTTCAGGTTTCCTGAGAGTTGGCCAAACCCTTTGTGGATCAAAGGCCTTGACGCTTAAAACAAATGAAATGACCCATTGCCATGGGTGGGTCACAGAGAAGACCACAGACGCTCTCCCGGTGTGGAGGGACCCACAGTGGTATCTGGTCCTTCCTTCTCTGACAGTCTCCTTTCCGGCATCTCATTCACTTGAATACCTGCCTCCATGCTTTGCAAGGTACATCTGAGGCAGTCTGGCCTGGGGGAAGGAGCCCTCACTGGAGAAGAGCCGGCCCCATCTCACTGTGTGACTGAAGAAAACAGGTCC